TCTTGAACTCCCGACCTCAGGTGATCCACCTGCCTCGGCCTCCCAAAGTGCTGGGATTACAAGCGTGAGCCACCACGCCCGGCCTCCTGTTTCCTTCTAATACGCTCCCAAAGACAGTCCAGAAAGAATGTAACATCCCCTCTTAACTTACATATGAACCAAGACAGGAAAATTAAACTCCCATTTGAGCTTCAAGTCAGTGACAAAATAAAAATTAAAAATATTGAAAAAATAAACTCCCACTGCACTCAATACTTAAATGGTTAAAAACAACAAAACAGGCCAAGTGCGGTGGCTCACACAGCACTTCGGGAGGCCGAGGCGGGTGGATTACCTGAGGTCAGTTTGAGACCAGCCTGGCCAATATGGTGAAACCCCCTCTCTACTGAAAATACAAAAATTAGCTGGGCGTGGTGGCGCCTGCCTGTAGTCCCAGCTACTCCGGAGGCTGAGGCAGGAGAATCGCTTGAACCTGGGAGGTGGAAGTTGCCGTGAGTCGAGATTGCGCCATTGCACTCCGGCCTGGGCAAAAGAGACTCCGTCTCAAAAAGGAAAAAAGAAAGAAATAAAAAAGGCACAACAAAACAAACAAACAAACACATCACAAGCATTTGCTGGAGTCTCCAGACTTCATTAACCTCCTTTCAACATTTTTTTTCCTCCCAGTGTTTTTTCACTATGGTTTCTTTTCCTTTTTTTTTTTTTTGAGACGGAGTCTCGCTCTGTCACCCAGGCTGGAGTGCAGTGGTGCAATCTCAGCTCACTGCAAGCTCCACCTCCCGGGTTCACGCCATTCTCCTGCCTCAGCCTCCCGAGTAGCTGGGACTATAGACGCCCGCCACCATGCCCAGCTAATTTTTTGTATTTTTAATAGAGACGGGGTTTCACCATGTTCGCCAGGATGGTCTCGATCTCCTGAACTCGTGATCCGCCCGCCTCAGCCTCCCAAAGTGCTGGGATTACAGGCGTGAGCCACCACGCCCGGCCCACTATGGTTTCTTCTAAGCATTGAAAAGTGATTGCCTGGAATAAAATGACCTATCTACAAAAAATTACACAACAATTAAATTCATGTTCTCAAAATATTTAATGATACAAAAGTTCATCTGCTAACTGAAAAGAGCTGAACAGAAACCATACATATTTTGTAAAATACACACACACACAGCCAAGCCCCAGCTGAGACACCTCACAGGTCAGTGATTACCCATGTGATGGTGGACTGGAGGATCATTTTCTACATGTGTAAGCTGCTTATAAAATTTTAAAAGCAACAAATGGGGGTTTATGAAAAACTTTCAGGAATGGGTTATCTATAGTGACCAAGGAGCTTGCTTCCTCAAGGGCTCTGACCACAGGAAGCTTGGCAGCAACAATTTTAAGGTGAACCTGCCGGAGGCAAGATGAGTAAGCTACGAACTCAGTTTCCGCGTCCCTCCAGCATGACCGTGAGGAACACGGTCCTGCTGCCAGCCTCCTGAGTTTACCATCTAATCAGAGGCTAGTCACACACCAGGAGTTACTGTTTTCTACATGCCGGAGACTGTGCTAAATCTCTTATAGACATGATTTCACTTACTCCTCACCAAGGAACACTGAGGGAAGGACAATTACCCCATCTTCAAACACAAAACAGGCTCAGGCTAAGTATCTTCCTCCAAGTTACACCACTGACAAGTGGCAGAGCCAGGATTTGAACTCAGTGCTCTGTAATCAAAGCCTGCTGTCTTATCCACGATCTTGCCATCCAAACCTAAAAACAAATGACCTAAGCCAGGCGCGGTGGCTCATGCCTGCAATCTCAGCACTTTGGGAGGCCGAGGCGGACGGATCACGAGGTCAGGAGCTCAAGACCAGCCTGGTTAACATAGTAAAACCACATCTCTACTAAAAATACAAAAAAATTGGCCGGGCGTGGTGGCTCATGCCTATAACCCCAGCACTTTGGGAGGCCGAGGCAGGTGGATCATGAGGTCAGGAGATCGAGACCATCCTGGCTAACACGAGGAAAACCCCCAAGGAAAAAGCTCTAAATGGCAGGGTTGTTCATAGGTGCAAGTTCAGGTCCAGCCTACCACAGGCAAAAATGGAGCTTTCCCAAGAGCTGGTCTGCCAGTCCTTCCTCCTTCCAAACAGCCCAGTCTCCAGCTGTGCCCTGTGGTTGTCTCTGGCCTCAGACCAGAAGTCAATTTGGACAAATCTACTTAAGAGCCCCCAGAAGAGGTTTTCCAGATTTTCTTTTTTCTTTTTTTAAGACAGAGTCTTACTCTGCGCCCAGGCTGGAGCTCAGTGGCACAATCCGGGCTCACTGCAAGCTCCGCCTCCCGGGTTCACGCCATTCTCCTGCCTCAGCCTCCAGAGTAGCTGGGACTACAGGAGCCCACCACCACACCCGGCTAATTTTTTGTATTTTTAGTAGAGACGGGGTTTCACGGTGTTCACCAGGATGGTCTCGATCTCCTGACCTCGTGATCCACCCGCCTCGGCCTCCCAAAGTGCAGGGATTACAGGCATGAGCCACCGCGCCCGGCCTCTTTTTAATTTTTTTTGAGACGGAGTCTCGCTTTGTCACCCAGGCTGGAGTGCAGTAGCATGATCTTGGCTCACTGCAAGCTCCGCCTCCTGGGTTCACACCATTCTCCTGCCTCAGCCTCCTGAGTAGCTGGGACTACAGACGCCCACCACCATGCCCGGCTAATTTTTTGTATTTTTAGTAGAGATGGGGTTTCACCGTGTTAGCCAGGATGGTCTTGATCTCCTGACCTTGTGATCCGCCCACCTTGTCTCAACTGAAAATAAAAAAAATTAGCCAGGCGAGGTGGCAGGCACCTGTAGTCCCAGCTACTCGGGAGGCTGAGGCAGGAGAATGGCGTGAACTCGGTGGGGCAGAGCCTGCAGTGAGCCGAGATCGTGCCACTGCACTCCAGCCTGGTCAACAAAGTGAGACTCCGTCTCAAAAAAAAAAATTAGCCCGTGTAGTGGTGGGCACCTGTAATCCCAAAAGTATCCCCAGCTACTTGGGATACTTTGAAAATTACATACAAAAACTACTAAGAGGCCCAGGTGCAGTGGCTCATGCCTGTAATCCCAACACTTTGGGAGGCTGAGGCAAGCAGATCCCCTGAGGTTGGGAGTTCAAGACCAGCCTGACCAGTAAAAACGCCGTCTCTACTAAAAATACAAAAATTAGCCCGGTGTGGTGGCAGGAGCCTGTAATCCCAGCCACGTGGGAGGCTGAGGCAGAAAATCCCTTGAACCCGGGAGGCACAGGTTGCAGTGACCTGAGATCAGGCCACTGCATTCCAGCCTTGGCGACAGAGTGAGAGTCCGTTGCAAAAAAAAAAAAAAACCAAAACCAAAAACTAAAGAGTTTTTGTAAAGAATAGCTTCAGGCCGGGCATGGTGGCCCACGCCTGTAATCCCAGCACTTTTGGGAGGCTGAGGCGGGTGGATCACGAGGTCAGGAGTTCAAGACAAGCCTGACCAACATGGTGAAACCCCGTCTCTACTAAAAATACAAAAATTTGCTGGGCGTGGTGGCGCATGCCTCTAATCCCAGCTACTTAGGAGGTTGAGGCAGGAGAATCACTTGAACCTGGGAGGCGGAGGATACAGTGAGCTGAGATCACGCCACTGCACTCCAGCCTGGGTGACAGAGCTAGACTCTGTCTCAAAAAAAAAAAAAAATTGCTTCAGCAGTTTGGGAGGCCGAGGCAAGCAGATCACAAGGTCAGGAGATCGAGACCAGCCAATACAGTGAAACCCCATCTCTACTAGAAATATAAAAATTAACCAGGCGTGGTGGTACTCACCTGTAATCCCAGCTACTTGGGAGACTGAGGAAGAAGAATTGCTTGAACCCGGGAGGGGATAAGCTGTAGCGAGCCAAGATCGTGCCACTGCACCCCAGCCTGGGAGATGAAGCAAGACTCCGTCTCAAAAAAAAAAAGAGCAGCTCCAATGGAGAACTCCTTATTACCCAATCTGACCCATAATAGATTGTGGAAATGATAAAAAGTCCAATCTTGTCTTTCCTTTAAATGCCCTTAATGCCACTGCCAGTGGCCGGGCGCAGTGGCTCACACCTGTAATCCCAACACTTTGGGAGGCCAAGATGGGTGGATCACCTGGGGTCAGGAGCTCGAGACCAACCTGGCCAGCAGGGTGAAACGCTTTCTCTACTAAAAATAGAAAATTAGCCAGGTGTGGTGGTACATGCCTGTAATCCCAGCTACTCGCTGAGGCAGGAGAATCGCTTGAACCTGGGAGGCGGAGGTTGTAGTGAGCCCAGATTGCGCCATTGCACTCCAGCCTGGGCAACAAGAGTGAAACTCTGTCTCAAAAAAAAAAAAAAAAAAAAAAAGGAAAGGGAAAGAAAAGCCACTGCCATCAATAATGGAATGAATCGTCATCCCGGGGAATGGTGCTGCCGTAGGTCTGACCGGCACAAGCTAAAGTTCACCGCGGCCTAGGCTCCCTGTCTCCGAACCTCCTTCCCTAAACCCTGTACAGCTTCCTGGGTCAACTCTAGCCCCAGTAAGGCTACCTGACCAACAGCTGATAGCTCCCTCTAGAGGCAATGATTTTTCTTTAGTGATAGGAACTGAAGAAAAAGACTTGACCGTCATACAGGCTGTATTTAAAGCCTGAAGGCAAACCTAGATTGGATGCAAACGTAATTACAGGGCACCAGTTTCATCCTTTCAGAGCCTTGCTGCAAATGACCTCCAGTGAGTATAACTGTAAAGCTACAAGGAAGTGGAGAAAGACAAAATGTTGATGGTGGTGCACTGTCTTAAAATTCTTTACAAGGCCAGCACAGTAAAACATGATACGAATGAGCCAGATTTCAACATAAATAAGGGGCAACTAAGAAGCTAGACTCAATTGTCTCAAAGGTATCAAAACCAATCACCGTAGCAAAGTTTCCTGGGCTTATTTTAAGTCGTTTGCTGTTGAGTCTAAGAGGTGCTGAGGGGCCACCATAAAATACTAAAGACAACGATAACCAACAGTTTAATTGTATATAAATGTTAAGTGTTAAAACCCACAAATCCTGATAGTCTTACAATGTGATCATGCTGGGAAGATGGCGGTGGTCGTAATACCAATTGGAACCTCAGCCCCAGTAAGTATCCTGTTGTCTTAAATGCAGAAAACGATGTGACCTGGTCACATGTTTACACAATCCACTTCCAACCTAGAGGACAAAGGGTCGGAAGCACCAGGGAGGACATGAAGAATGGCAGTCTGGTCACCAGCCTCCAGCACCCCCAGGAAAAAGCTCTAAATGGCAGGGTTGTTCATAGGTGCAAGTTCAGGTCCAGCCTCCCACAGGCAAAAATGGAGCTTTCCCAAGAGCTGGTCTGACAGTCCTTCTTCCTTCCAAACAGCCCAGTCTCCAGCTCTGCCCCGTGGTTCTCTGGCCTCAGACCAGAAGTCAATTTGGAAAAATCTACTTTTTAAGAGCCCCCAGAAGAGGTTTTCCAGATTTTCTTTGTTTTTGAGAAGGAGTCTCGCTCTGTCTCCCAGGCTGGAGTGCAGTGGCACGATCTCGGCTCACTGCAAGCTCCGCCTCCCGGGTTCACGCCATTCTGCCTCAGCCTCCCAAGTAGCTGGACTACAGGTGCCCACCACCACGCCCAGCTAATTTTTTGTATTTTTAGTAGAGACGGGGTTTCACCATGTTAGCCAGGATGGTCTTGATCTCCTGACCCTGTGATCCTCCTGCCTTGGCCTCCCAAAGTGCTGGGATTACAGGCGTGAGCCACCGCGCCTGGCCCCAAGGTTTTCCAGATTTGAAAGCAATTTCCTCAGCATAAAACCTCAGGATTAAAAAAAAAAGAAGGGCTGTTGGGTCCAAATTTATATCTATCGAACCCGTTTAAGTTTTTATTTTCTTTTTTAAAAGATAAGGTCTTACTCTGTCGCTCAGGCTGGAGTAGTTGGTGTACTCCAGCCTGGAACTCAGAGGCTCAAGCAATCCTCCAGCCTCAGCCTCCCAAAGTGCTAGGATTACAGGTGTGCATGAGCCACCACTCCCGGCCCTATCTATTAAACCTTGATTGAACGTAACAGACCAAGTACAACTGCACCAAATGGATGGGCTATAACCATCCACACTGGTTCCAAGGAAGCAGACCGTCGCTGGCCCCCAGGTCTGCACGTGGCTCAGGCAACGCCGTGGTAAGCCCTTGTATCCATTATGCTTGAGATCCTGCAGGTCGGCCTTCTTCCTTCCTTCTCAGTACATTGTAATGGCCCCAGTTTCCATATTTTTATCCTGATTCTAATAACCAGGTCCTTGAAGAACTTTCTGAGGAATCTCTGTTTTAATGGCACACAAACTGTTCTCTGCCGTTTTAGTCCCTCTGGAAAGCACACCAGACAGCAAGTATGAGTACCACACAGAAGACTAGAGCAAATTCTAGCTCATGCAGCTTTAAAAGAGAAACTTAAGACTACTATACGATATTCACGAATTACACAGAAAACAGTGTTGCTGATAAGGGCACCATTCATTGCCACGACACTCCATCATGTCTCTCATGGTCAGGCTTGAGACAAAACTTTCAGGTAGGAAAGTTTCTTCCCTTGTTAAAAATGCGAGTATCACTTCATTTTTCGACAGAACTTAGGTCTTCGGTATGGTTTCTCTTTATGTGCCTCCTCAGGTTCTCTTGCTCCAATTTTCTCTGATGCTCCAGGAATTTTAAAATTGTAATCCGTTGTGACGTAAGGTACGGTCCCTTCAATCCCACGCTGAAATGGAAACACAAAGAGAATTCATGGAAACACTCCAGGTCCAGGCCAGAGGGGTTTACAGCGCTCTCTCCCACCTGAAGGTAGTGTCCTGATGGTCTGGGTGGGGACTTTTCACTTTTAGGGCATTTGATCCCTTCCTTCAGAGCCCCCTTTAATCAACTGGCTCGGTAACAAACGTGTCAGGGTCTCCCTCTGTCCCATTCCATCAACACAGCAAACAGCGTGAGGCTGAGTGGGGGTGCAGTGCACGTCCCTTTCAAAAGAGGGACGCGGGAGGATGAGAATGGTGGGAACATCCCCCATACCCAGAGCCCACTCGTAGCCCCTGTGGCTGACTCTGGGGCACACAGAAGCTTTGGCCTGGTCCCGTGATGCCTCTGAAGACTGTCCTCAGGAGGGCAAACCTGAGAGGGCCCCTGCTTGCTCCAACACAACCTACTCCTATGTAAAGGCGCCACCACGGGTTGCAGTGAGCCCAGATCGTGACACTGACACCACGAGTGACAGTGATTCATGGTCTCAGGCCCTGGAGGTGGCCCTGACACCGTCTTGGCTCACTCAGGACCTACAACAAAGTATAGGTTTCCCAGATCATCCATTCCCATGACCCCTGACCCTACTTCAGCGCCTCACTTCCTGTGGACCTGAGTAGGCTCCTTCCAGGGCTGTGCCTGGGGTAAGGCTCACCTGGCACTTAAGGACACAATGCGGAATGGCAATAGCTCCAACGAGCAGACAATTCACGGTCCTTAGCTCTTCCGGGGGCACAGGGGTGAGGATGTGGTACAGCCGCTTCTCCATGTCAATGCCTCTACAGATGCCTTCAAGACATGCGCACAACACAAAAATCACCCTTTTGGAAAACATCAAACCTCTCCACCTTTAGAAACTGCAGAATGGTTTTGAACATAAGTCTTGATTTCAACTCTGTTTTGTTTTGAAACTACAAAGAGCTGGCCGGGTGTAGCAGCTCACGCCTGTAATCACAACACTCTGGGAGGCTGAGGAGGGTGGACTGCCTGAGATCAGGAGTTCGAGACCAGCTTGGGCAAGACGGTGAAACCCCATCTCTACTAAAAATACAAAAAATTAGCCAGGCGTGGTGGCGGGCACCTGTAGTCCCAGATACTCGGGAGGTTGAGACAGGAGAATAGCTTGAACGCAGGAGGCGGAGCTTGCAGTGAGCCGAGATGGCGCCACTGAACTCCAGCCTGGGTGACAGAGCGAGATTCTGTCTCAAAAAAAAAAAAAAGAAAAGAAAAAAAAAAAGAAAATACAAAAGTCAAGAGACAGAGTCCTTGAAAATTGGGACAGTTTGTACCTTCCCTGTGTTCAGCCATGAGGAACCAAAATGGTCTACATGCAAAAGTCCTAGATTGGGCCGGCTGCGGTGGCTACGCTTGTAATCCCAGCACTGTGGAGGCTGAGGCAGGTGGATCAAATGAGGTCAGGAGTTTGCGACCAGCCTGGCCAACATGGTGAAACCCTGTCTCTACTAAAATTTCACGTATCAGCTGGGCATGGTGGCGCGCACCTGTAATTCCCAGCTACTCAGGAGTCTGAGACACAAGAATCACTTGAACCCAGGAGGCAGAGGTTGCAGTGAGTCCAAAGAGACAGAGAGAGACTTTGTCTCAAAAAAAAAAAAAAAAACCAAACAAAAAACAAAAAACAGCCTGTGCGCAGTGGCTCATGTCTGTAATCCCAGCACTTTGGGAGGCCAAGGTGGGCGGATCACAAGGTCAGGAGCTCAAGACCAGGCTGACCAACATGGTGAAATCCCATCTCTACTAAAAATACAAAATTAGCTGGGCGGGGTGGCGCATGTCTGTAATCCAAGCTACTCAGGAGGCTGAGACAGAAGAATCATTTGAACCTGGGAGACGGAGGTTGCAGTGAGCGGAGATCACACCATTGCACTCCAGCGTGGGCAACAGAGCAAGACTCCGGCTCCGGCTCAAACAAAAAAACAATGTCTTAGATTGTTGGTGAGTACAGGCCAGGGGGAAAATGCACCACTAAGGAACATACAGAAGATAACCTGATCTTTCCCCATCACTGTTCCTCCTTTATGGTCTGTACTAAATGACACAATTTCTGTGAAAATGCTTTTGAGAAATAACAGTGTTGTCCAAATCTGAAATGTGCATTTAAGGACTTCGCTAATTTGGGATTACTTAGCTCCAGCACCTTTCCAAAACTCCATGTTTATTGACCTCAAGAAACCAAGGCAGGTCAAGGAGGTGCGGACCCAATCCCGCTGGGCACTTCAAGCCCTGGTCCAGACCTTGGATCTGAGTGATGGGAAGTGCCAGGCTGTGGCACAACTGCACCTGGGTTCAGGCCATTCCTGGGTATGGGGATAAATTTTAAGAGAGGAAGTGGAGAGTTCAGTTAAGAAACTTTTCAGCAGATGGCAGTGGCTGACTAACATGCTGAGAAGAGGTGGAGGAAGCTGACATATTTTGAAGACAGAAGCCAACAGACGGTCTAATGGGCTGAAAGTAGCAAACGAAGGCTAGGGGATGCCAAGGAGGGGCCAGGGTCTGACCTGGATGTCAGAGTGAATCTTCCAGTGGACCAAGCACAAGCCTGGGGCAAGGAGGAGAGGGTGCGGGCAGGAGGGTCCTGAGGGTCCCAGGTCTACATGCGAGTCAGACACTCAAGTGGAGATGTACGCTGGCAAGGTGGGTTTGGAACGCAGATGAACAGCTGTGTTGGAGGACACTGCAGAAAGGGAACGCCTAAAGATGGATTTAGAACCCAGCAGTGACTGAGACAGGGGAGAAGTGTCAAGCAAGAAGAGGGCCAAGCCCAGGCCCTTGGGAAGTCTACATTTATAGAAGCTGGTAGACGAAGCAGAGAAATAGCTGCTTCATTCCTGGCCTCCAGCCCCTAAGGCATGCTATATAGATGAGTGGGGGTTCTCTGACCTCTGTAGCTTAGACACAGCTACAAGGTCAAGACCAGTCATCTACAGTTAAAGCAGTAGATCCTCTTCAGTAGGTTTATGGATATGTTTTACTCTCAGACTCACCAAAGCCCAAGCAGTCACAGATTGGAGTCTGGGCAAGCAGGATGGGCCCATTCGTGTATCCTCTGACGTCATCCTGGATCTTGCAAAGACCAACCCAGCTGGCGTTCACAGCATATAGTATATGGGTAGGGGCGACATCAGAGTGGGTAATTCGGAGCGCGACTGCATTGAAAGGGACCTGGAAAATGAATTTGCATCTCACTCTATTCATTGCTACTTTGAAAAACCACTTAATTTTTACAACTAGATTAACCAGATTAACTACAACTAGATTAACACACTATCTAAAGATAGGTCTGCCAAAGTGCCTACCCAAAAGTATCTTTAAAGAATAAAAACAGCCAGGTGCAGTGGCTCACGCCTGTAATCCCAGCACTTTGGGAGGCCGACGTGGGCAGATCACGAGGTCAGGAGTTCAAGACCAGCCTGACCAACACGGTGAAACCCGGTCTCTACTAAAAATACAAAATTAGCTGGGCATGGTGGCGGGCGCCTGTAATCCCAGCTACTCAGGAGGTTGAGGCAGGAGAATCGCTTGAACCTGGGAGGTGGAGGTTGCAGTGAGCGGAGATCGCGCCCACTGCACTCCAGCCTGGGCAACAGAGAAAGACTCTGTCTCAAAAACAAATTAATAAATAAAAAATAAATAAAATAAAAAATTATTTAGGCCGGGTGCAGTGGCTCACGCCAGTAATCCCAACCCTCTGGGAGGCCAAGGTGGGGCGATCACTTGAGGTCAGGAGTTTGAGACCAGCCTGGCCAACATGGCAAAACCCTGTCTCTACTAAAAATACAAAAATTAGCCAGGGATGATGGTGCGTGCCTGTAGTTCCAGCTACTCTGGAGGCTGAGGCACAAGACTCACTTAAACCCGAGAGGCGGAGGTTGCAGTGAGCTGAGATTGTGCCACTGCACTCCGGCTTGAATGACAGACCAAGACTCCATCTCAAAAAAATAAATAAATAAATAAAAATAAAAATAAATAAATAAAATACAAAAATTTAGCCAGGTGTGGTGGTACATGCCTTTAGTCTCAGCTACTTGGGAGGCTGAGGCACTAGAATTGAGAATCACTTGAACCCACGAAGCAGAGGTTGCAGTGAGTCAAGATTGTGCCACTACACTCCAGCCTGGGTGACAGAGAGAGACTGTCTCAAAAAAAAAAAAAAAAAAAAAAACTTGAATTTAAAAAATAAACGTGGGCCGGGCGTGGTGGATCATGCCTATAATCCCAGCACTTTGGGAGGCTGAAGCAGGTGGATCATCTGAGGTCAGGAGATCGAGACCAGCCTGGCTAATATGGTGAAACCCCATTTCTACTAAAAATACAAAAGATTAGCTGGGCATGGTGGCGTGCGCCTGTAATCCCAGCTACTCGGGAGGCTGAGGCAGAAGAATCACTTGAACCCAGGAGGCAGAGGTTGTAGTGAGCCGAGCACGGGGCATTGCACTCCGGAGTGGGCAACAAGAGCGAAATTCTAGCTCAAAAAAAAATAATAATAAATGTGAAGTAATACAAGACAGATTAAAGTATTGGCAGATAAATTTCACATTCAGTTACAGAGCATCTCCAGGTGAATAAATGACCCATAAACTAAAACCCCATTAGCAAAGTAACTTAGACTCTCTAGGGGAGATGACTCAGAGGCCTGGAGCCTATGCCACCATCGGGTCCAAGAAACATCCTTGCTGCCCAGGTCTGCCACTTAAGCCAGGTGCAGTGGCTCATGCCTGTAATCCCAGCACTTTGGGAGGCCGATATGGGCAGATCACGAGGTCAGGAGTTCAAGATCAGCCTGACCAACACGGTGAAACCCCATCTCTACTAAAAATACAAAATTAGCTGGGTGTGGTGGCAGGCGCCTGTAATCCCAGCTACTCAGGAGGTTGAGGCAGGAGAATCACTTGAACCTGGGAGGTGGAGGTTGCAATGAGCAGAGATTGCGCCATTGCACTCCAGCCTGGGCAAGTGCTTCCATCTGACAGCTCCCAATGCTCAAAGCTATAAATGAAGCATATCTTAGCCTTTCATCTCACAGGGTGGCCACGAAGTCACTGAGCCCCTAAATGCTTGGCAGAGTGCCTGGCATGGAGCAAGCACTCAAAACCGGACAGGCTGTGTGGCACAGAAGACCCGGGCTCAGAGTCAGGCGTCCTGCAGCTTCAGTCCTAGCCTCAACTTTGACTGCACCATTTTGGGCAAGCTGACTCCCAGTCCCTGGCCTTGGTTTTACCATCTGTAAAATGGGGATAATAACAGGACCATGGTAAGTAGTGGAGTTACACAGGCTTAGAACAGAGTACTGCACAAAGTAAGCATTTCAGAAGTGCCACCTGCCGCTAGTTTTGTTTTTTCATCATCCTGAATCCTAACACTATCATGCTTTCCTCCCAAAACAATTATTAGCAGCCTGGATTCCAAGTTGCAAATACTCTGGTGGTGGAATCTACTTTTGACGACAGTAACGTGAAGTACTTTTTCTTTTTTTTTTTTTTTCTTTTTTTTTTTTTGAGACGGAGTCTCGCTCTGTCGCCCAGTCTGGAGTGCTGTGGCCGGATCTCAGCTCACTGCAAGCTCCGCCTCCTGGGTTTTTTACGCTATTCTCCTGCCTGAAGTACTTTTTCTTTTTGAGTTGACATTTCGCTCTGTCGCCCAGGCTGGAGTACAGTGTCATGATCTCGGATCACTGCAACCTCCGCCTCCCGGGTTCGAGCGATCCTCCTGCCTCAGCCTCCCGAGTAGCTGGGACTACACGCACGTGCCACCACGCCTGGCTAATTTTTTTTTTTTTTTTAATACGGAGTCTTGCACTGTTGCCCAGGCCGGAGTGCAGTGGCACAATCTTGGCTCACTGCAAGCTCTGCCCCTTGGGATCATGCCATTCTCCTGCCTCAGCCTCCCGAGTAGCTGGGACTATAGGCATGAGCCACCACACCCAGCTAATTTGTTGTACTTTTAGTGGAGACGGGGTTTCACCGTGTTAGCCAGGATAATCTCGATCTCCTGACCTCATGATTCGCCTGCCTCGGCCTCCCAAAGTGCTGGGATTACAGGTGTGAGCCACCGTGCCCTGCAATTTTTTGTATTTTTTTTTTTTTTTTTTGAGACGGAGTCTCGCTCTGTCACCCAGGCTGGAGTACAGCGGCCGGATCTCAGCTCACTGCAAGCTCCGCCTCCTGAGTTTACGCCATTCTCCTGCCTCAGCCTCCCGAGTAGCTGGGACCACAGGCGCCCGCCACCTTGCTCAGCTAGCTTTTTGTATTTTTTAGTAGAGATGGGGTTTCACTGTGTTAGCCAGGATGGCCTCGATCTCCTGACCTCGTGATCCGCCCACCTTGGCCTCCCAAAGTGCTGGGATTACAGGCGTGAGCCACTGCACCCGGCTAATGTGAAGTACTTTAAGAGTGCTCTCTGGGTGCCAGGTTCCACTGTGAACGCTCCCTGAATCCACACGATCACTCTCTGAGGCCCAGTAGCACCCCTGTTCTACAGCTGAAAAGCGGAAGTGCTGGAGCAGCCCCTGCGACCAGGCGGGACATTCAAACCCAGCACAGAGCCACACTTAACCTTAGGACAGAAACGTGGCTAAGAGCGGTCACCAGAGCTGAACTGCCTGGGCCCGCATGCCAGCCTGGCCCCTACTGCTGAATCCCTCAGCCTCTCTACACCTCAGTTTCCTCATCTATAAAATGGGAATAACAACAGAACCTGTGACACTGGGATGTTCTGAGGATTAAATGAGCGAGGAGTTATGAAGTGGTTAGAAGAGTGTCCAGCACACAGAAAACCACACAAGTGTGTAACAAAATGAAGACAATTTCTCCCGTAAGTTCAGATTACCTGATAGGGTGTCAGGCTATGTAAAGGAGAAAGTGGTTTGGGCATCGGGGGCTGCAGCTGGCTAAGGTAACTCAAGATGGTCAGATCTCGAAGAATTTTGTTATGTGACTCTCTGAAAGGCAAATTACAACAAGGTAAGTAGACATTTAACCCTCCACAGCCACCTCTCACACCTGTCATCACAGAGGTCACATTTTCACAGAGTACTGGGCTTTCCAGCACTGCCCCCCCTTGACAGACCCCGACTGGAAAAACAGGAAGCGTAAAGACTCTCCTTTAAGTCAAAGTTGCTGGCAGCCAGAGTTAGGGGCCACTTCTGGGTATTTCCCCTGGAAACATAACAGTTCAGAAAACAACTGGTTCTTCTTTGTAAATGCACAGCTGTGATAGAGAACTGAAGATTTTAGAGGACTCAGGCCTTTAGAGGAATTGAGAATGGCAGGCCTTTTTCGACAAAAGGAAACATTAATTCTTCAGCCAAATGAGGGTTAGTTACCTATTTCTTGGAGTTATTCTGTATGTAAAGTCTGTATAAACACCTATCAGTTTATGTCCAGTGAACTCAACTGGACTCTCTTTTTCTTCATCAGCAAATTCCAAAGCATCTGCAAATGCTGCGAGTCTGAAACGTCGATTTCTCATCTTGGTCTTGCTTTTTGTGTACAAGCCATCCATGTCATCTACATACTGCGAGGTGAGGTCTGGCATATATTTACTGTGGTCACAGCGGAACTGAACCACGTGGCTGGGAGACAGCAATCGGATCAGATCAATGAGAAGCAGGAGCCCCTGGTCTGTGGGGAAGAGACATTAGCACAGCTGATACACTCGAGAACAGTGACACACTCAAGAACAGTGACACGCTCCTAAGACAAATGGGTGCATTTGTTCTAAGACAAAGAAACCATCAATAAGTTGGACTTCGGCTGGGTGCCGTGACTCATGTTTGTAATCCCAGCACACCTTGGCAGGCCAAGGTGGGTGGATCACTTGAGGCCAGAAGTTCAAGACCAGCATGGCCAATATGGCAAAACCCTATCTCTACTAAAACTACAAAAATTAGCTGGGCAGAGTAGCACACGCCTGTGGTCCCAGCTACTCCGGAGGCTGAGGTGGGAGGATTGTTTGAGCCCGGGAGGCAGAGGATGCAGTGAGCCAAGATCACGCCATTGCACTCCAGCCTGGACGACAGAGTGAGACCCTGCCTCAATTAAAAACAAAAAACAAAACACTGGGCTTTAATGTGGCTGTCTGAAAGCTAAGAGTACTCACACTGCCTGTCCTTCCCTTGCAGATGTGTGCATGCAGGCTTACCTGAAACCCATCCCATGGTGTTGACGATGAGAGGGGACTCTCTCTTGTAAGCGCTGAACACATATTTTATTATGTCAATATAATTCTCATAGTTGTTTTTACAAGAAGGTTTCCCATAATATACCATCTTCTGTGGTGTCCTCAGGTGAGTGAAAGGTGGTCCTAAGAAGATAAAGATGAGTAATCAGATGAGTAAGGTAAGATGAGTGTTCAATCCTGGCTACTTAAAAGGTGGTGAGGATTTTGTTTCAGCTGCTATCACTGACAAAGAACCTTAGGAAATCTGAGACCATCGTACCTACAGGAATACTCTAATTCCATGTTTTGGAAATCTAAGCTTTCAACTTAACACAAAGACATGCTCACTTTCACATAAACGGCTAATGACAATTATATTCATTCAGCAAACACACAAATCTGCTAACTGCTGGGCTTGTTCCAGTGATTTGGGACATATCTGTAAACAAAACAGACAAACATCCCCACCCTCGCAGGGCTTCTATCCCAATGAAAGGGCAATGAATAGGCATGTGTGTCTTATAGGAATACAGCAATGACTCTGTTCTAGGCCCTTCACATACAGTCTCTAATTTTTTCTTTTTCTTTTTTTTTTTTAGACAGAGTTTCACTCTTATTGCCCAGGCTGGAGTGCAATGGCGTGACCTTGGCTGACTGCAACCTCCACCTACCAGGTTCAAGCGATTCTCCTGCCTCAGCCTCCCGAGCAGCTGGAATTGCAGGCATGTGCCACCACGCCCGGCTAATTTTGTATTTTTAGTAGAGACGGGGTTTCTCCATGTTGGTCAGACTGGTCTTGAACTCCTGACCTCAGGTGATCCACCTACCTCAGCCTCCCAAAGTGCTGGGATTATAGGCGTGAGCCACCGTGCCCAGCCAAGAGCCTCTAATTTTCATAACCCTGTGGCAGGTGGTAGTATCCTCATTTTTACAGATGAGGGAATTGGGAAAGAGATTAACCTGAACAAGGTCGGCCAGTCAGTAAACAGCAAGCTGGCTTAAACCCAGGGGCCTGGCTCCTGTGTTCACACTGCTAATCATGACGTATCTCCTCTGGCCAGGGACAGGGAGCTAAGCAATTCAATGAGGGCAGGGCCAGCACAGTCAGAGGCCAGTGAGCAGGACTGTGTGCGACAGGGTCAGCAGGGAGATGGCCTGGGTCAGTGTGATTGCAGCAAGGCCATCTGTGATACTCAACCATCAGAGTGGCCACTATGATGGGAGCTAGGAATTCAGCCAGCGAGGCTCCCTTCAAGGTTGGGGCCAGTAAGGGCAGGGATATGGGGTGGCCAGTAACAGAGGGAGTGGCCTGCATAGTTGAGAGAAGACTGAGCAAATATGCAAATAAATTGTAAATAATCATAGCCAGGTTTCTTAACATCAGAGAATAACTTACAAATATGAAAGTAAGGAAGGCTAATGAGTGATCCCTGAGATGTTAAGCCAGAATCGGATGAGTCAGAAACTCATGGCTTGCTTGCTTTCTTTTTTTTTCCTTTTATTTTTTTGAGATGGAGTCTCACTGTGTCACCCAGGCTAGAGTGCAGTGGCGCAATCTCAGCTCACTGCAACCTCCACCTCCCGAGTTCAAGTGATTCTCCTGTCTCAGCCTCCCAAGTAGCTGGGATTACAGGCACTCGCCACCACACCTGGCTAATTTTTGGATTTTTTAGTAGAGATGAGGTTTTGCTATGTTGGCCGAGTTGGTCTCAAACTCCTGACCTCAAGTGATCCACCTGCCTCAGCCTTCCACAGGCTGGGATTACAGGCATGAAGAACCGTGCTGGCCTCATGGTTTTAATGAAACAGATAGAAAAGGTATCTATACAAGTATAGATCTATATGCATATATACACATACACATATGTATGTGTGGATTTAAATATGTAATAGATGCTAGCTTTGTGCACTGAGATCTAGAAACAATGACATACCAGAGGCAACACGCGCACACAGTACTGAAACTCTGGTTTCAATCTCTCCCTATGAAAAGGAGCCAGGGCTCTCTGGAAAAATAGCTCATTCCAAGGCTATGGAAGAGAAAGTGAAAGATGACCCCAGAACTTCCTGTTTTGCCAGAAAGTTAAGACAGTGCTCAAAAAAGGATGGAGCCATGGAGTAGCTAGGGTCAGTACAGCTGGAGGGCCCAGGCCAAGGGTGCAGTCAGGACCTAGGACGTAAGAGGAGCTCAGCAGACAGACGGTCCTAGGAGGTGGCCAGCAGGACAGAGCAGCTGCTTATACATAGGGATATTGTACACATAAATTAACGTATTCAGAATAATGAGCCAAGTTTTTTTGTTTTTGTTTTTGTTTTTTTTTAAAGACAGACAGGGTCAGCTGGACATGGTGGCTTACACCTATAATTCTAGCACTTTGGGAGACCAAGGCAGGTGGATCACCTGAGGTCAGGAGTTCGAAACCAGCCTGGCCAACATGGTGAAACCCCGCCTCTACTAAAAATACAAAAAATTATCCAGGCGTGGTGGTGCACGCCTGTAATCCCAGCTACTTGGGAGGCTGAGGCAGGAGAATCGCTTGAACCTAGGAGGCACGGGTTGCAGTGAGCCGAGATCGTGCTACTGCACTCCAGCCTGGGCAGCAAGAGCAAAAAAAAAAAAAAAAAAAAACAAAAGTTGGAGGTATCACATTCTCTGACTTCAAAAGCAGTTATAATTAAAAGAGCATGGTCCAGCCCAGGCTACAAAGTGAGACACTGCCTCTAAAAATAATTGTTTAAAAATTAGCCAGGTGTGGGCCAGGTGCAGTGGCTCATGCCTGTAATCCCAGCACTTCAGGAGGCTAAGGCGGGTGGATCACAAGGTCAGGAGATCGAGACCATCCTGGCTAACACGGTGAAACCCCGTCTCTACTAAAAATGCAAAAAATTAGCCAGGCATTTTAAAGTAAAACAGCATGGCAGGATCAGGCGTGGAGGCTCTGCAATCTCAGTGCTTTCGGAAGCTGAGGCAGATCACCTGTTTCCAGGAATTTGAGGCTGCAGTGAGCTATGATTGTGCTAACGCACTCCAGCCTGGGTGACAGTGAGACCCTGTCTCTCTCAGAAACCAAGCACGGTAATGGCATAAAAAGAGACATATTACTCAATGGAACAGCATAGAAAGTCTGGAAATAAACACTGCATTTACAGCCAATTTATTTCTGACAAAGATGCTAATAACAAAACAAGGGGGAAGGATAGTCTTCAATAAATAAGACCAGGAAATCTGGTTATTCACAGGGAAAAGAAGGATACTACTAGATATCTTTATCAAGTATCATATACAAAAATCAACTCAAAATGGAATAAAGACTTAAGTATTAAGACCTGAAACTGGCCAGGCGTGGTGGCTCACGCCTGTAATCCCAGCACTTTGGGAGGCCGAGGCGGGCGGATCACAAGGTCAGGAGATCAAGACAATCCTGGCTAACACGATGAAACCCTGTTTCTATAAAAATACAAAAAATTAGCCAGGCGTGGTGGCGGGCACCTGTGGTCCCACCTACTCGGGAGTCGAGGCAGGAGAATGGTGTGAACCCGGGAGGCGGAGCTTACAGTGAGCTAAGATAGCGCCACTGCACTCCAGCCTGGGCGACAAGCGAGACTCCGTCTCAAAAAAAAGAAAAAAAGACCTGAAACTGTAAACCTACTAGAGGAAACGCTTCATGACACTGGTCTAGGTAACAATTTTCTAAATATGACCCTGAAAACAAAGGTAACAATAGACAATGAGATGGCATCAAACTAAAAAGCTTCTGCATAACAAAGGAAACAATTTACAAAGAGACAACCCTCAGAATGGGAGAAAACATTTGTAAAGCATACATCTGATAAGGGGTTAATATCCAAAATATGTAAGGAACACAAGAAACTCAACAGCAAGAAAGCAAATAACCCAACTGAAAAATGGGGAAGGGACTTGTACTGACTTCAAAACTTACCGAAAAGCTATAGTAATTAAAACAGTATGATACTGGGTCAAGGACAGACATGTAGACCAATGAAACAGAAATGGAATCAGGAAATAAGCCCATACATATAAGATCAAACCATCTTCAAGATAGTCTTTTCAACAAATGGTGGTGGAAAATGTCAATATCTATATTCAAAAGAAAGACGCTGGACCAATTCCTTACAGCATATGAAAATGTTAATTCAAAATGGATCAGAAACCTAAACTTAAGAGCAAAAACGGAACAAACATATTCAGGCTGAAAAATTTAAAAATAAAAAAAATTTAAAAAGAGTTAAAAACCATAAAGCTCTTACAAGAAAACATGAGAGAAAATCATGATGACATTAGATTTAGTAATGATTTCAAGGATATAACACTAAAAGCATAGGCAACAAGTGAAAAAATAGATACACTGAACTTCATCAAAATTAAGAACTGTGCATTGGCCAGGCGCAGTGGCTCACGCCTGTAATCCCAGCACTTTGGGAGGCCGAGGCGGGTGGATCACGCAGTCAGGAGATCAGGACCATCCTGGCTAATACGGTGAAACCCCATCTCTACTAAAAATACAAAAAATTAGCTGGACGTGGTGGCGGGCGCCTGTAGTCCCAGCTACCCGGGAGGCTGATGCAGGAGAATGGCATGAACCCTCGAGGCAGAGCTTGTAGTAAGCCAAGAGCACGCCACTGCACTCCAGCCTGGGCGACAGAGCAAAGAGCAAGACTCCGTCTCAAACAAAAACAAAAACAAAAAACAAACCACGCAAGCAATATTCAAGGACTGGAATAGACATTTCTCCAAAGAAGATATACAAATGGCCAATAAGCACATGCTCAACATCATTAGTCATTTAAGGGAATGTAAATGAAAACCAAAATGAGACATTACTTCACACAAACTCGGACAGCTATAATCAAAATAAGCATTGGTGAGGATACAGAGAAATCAGAACTCTTGTGCATTGCTGCTGGGAATGTAAAATGCAACTACTGTGAAAAACGGTTTGGCAGTTCTCAAAACGTTAAACACAGAACTACTATAAGACCCAGCAATTCCACTCCTTGCTATATACCTGAAAGAACTGAAAGCAGGATCTGGAGGAGATATTTGAATACCCGTGTTCATAGCAGGATTATTCACGAGAGCCAAAATGTGGAAAGAACCCAAGTGTCCATCATAGCTGAATGGATAAACTAAATGTGATATAAACATACAACTGAATAACATCCAGCCATGAAAAGGAATTAATTTTTTTTTTTGAGACAGAATCTCACTCTGTCGCCCAGGCTGGAGTGTAATGGTGCAATTTCAGCTCACTGCAGCCTCCACCTCCCAGGTTCAAGTGATCCTCCTGCTTCAGACTCCCAAGTATCTGGGACTATAGGCATGGACCACCAAGCCCAGCTAATTTTTATAATTTTTTATAATTATAAAAATTTTTATACATTTTTATAATGTTTTATAGAGACTGGGTTTCACCATGCTACCCTGGTCTCAAACTCTCAGGCTCAAGCAATCTGCCCACCTTGGCCTCCCAAAGTGCTGGGATTACAGGTGTGAGCCATGGTACCTGGCCAGCAATTAAATTTTGATACATGCTACAACATGGATGGATTCTGACAATACTATGCTGAGTGAAATAAGCCAGACAAAGGGTAAGTATTCGATGACTCCACTTACATGAGAATAGCCAAATTCATAGGGACAAAAAGTAGAACAGAGGTGAAGTCTCTAGGGGCTAGGAAAGAGGACAAGAGGGATTTATTCTTTTTTTTTTTTTTTGAGACAGAGTCTTGCTCTGTCACCCAGGCTGGAGTGCAGTGGCGCGATCTCGGCTCATTGCAAGCTCCACCTCCTGGGTTCACGCCATTCTCCTGCCTCAGCCTCCCGAGTAGATGGGACTACAGACGCCCGCCACCACACCCGGCTAATTTTTTGTATTTTTAGTAGAGATGGGGTTTCACCGAGTTAACCAGGATGGTTAACTTTGTGATCCACCGGCCTTGTGATCCACCGGCCTTGGCCTCCCAAAGTGCTGGGAGTACAGGTGTGAGCCACCGCGCCCGGCTGAGATTTATTCTTCAAGGAGTACAGTTTTCATTTTGGGATGACAAAAAACCACACCTAATTTTTAAATTTTTTGTAGAAACAGGGTCTCATCCCATTGCAAACACAACAAAAAAGTTGTGGCCAGGCACAGTGGCTCATGCCTATAATCCTAGCACTTAGGAGTCGGAGGTGAGTGGACGACCTGAGGTCAGGAGTTCCAGACCAGACTGGCCAACAAGGTGAAACCCTGTCTTTACTAAAAATATAAAAATTAGCTGGGCATGGTGGCGTGCACCTGTAGTCACAGTTACTCAGGAGGCTGAGGCAGGAAAACAGTTCCAACTCAGGGGGCGGAGGTTACAGTGAGCACAGATCACACCATGCACTCTAGTCGGCCTGGGTGACAGAGCAAGACTCCATCTCAAAGAGAAAAAAAAAAGAAAGCAATGTGGTACTTACTTCAGCAGCACATACCCTAAAAAACGGAATGATACAGAGAAGACTGGCAATGGGCCCTGCACAAGGATAACATGCAAATTCATGAAATCTTCTATATTATTTTTTTCAAAAAGAGATGGAGAACTGTGGGTTAGGTTCTGAACCAGATAAAGGACATTAGGGGCCGGGCGTGGTGGTTCATGACTGTAATCCCAGCACTTTAGGAGGTCGGCGCCGGCAGATCATAAGGTCAGGAGATCGAGACCATCCTGGCTAACACGGTGAAACCCCGTCTCTACTAAAAAAAATACAAAAAATTAGCCAGGCGTGGTGGCGGGTGCCTGTAGTCCCAACTACTCAGGAGGCTGAGGCAGGAGAATGGCATGAACCCAGGAGGCGGAGCTTGCAGTGAGCCGAGATTGTGCCACAGCACTCCAGCCTGGGCGACAGAGCGAGACTCCGTCTCAAAAAAAAAAAAAAAAGGCCGGGCGCGGTGGATCACGCAGTCAGATTGAGACCATCCTGGCTAACACGGTGAAACCCCATCTCTACTAAAAATACAAAAAATTAGCTGGACGTGGTGGCGGGCGCCTGTAGTCCCAGCCACCCGGGAGGCTGAGGCAGGAGAATGGCATGAACCTGGGAGGCGGAGCTTGCAGTGAGCCAAGATCGGGCCACTGCACTCCAGCCTGGGCAACAAAGTGAGACTCCGTCTCAAAAAAAAAAGGAAATTAGGGAAACATATGTTTCTAATTTACATAAAACAAAATAATTTTTGCCACCACACCCAATTAATTTCATAGAACAAAATGAGTAGCAGATCCATTTCCTAAAATGAGAAAACCCCATAGTTTTTGGAGGTTAGTGGAACAAGTTATGGAAAGACCCTGAGTTTGGTAGATGCGTGCTCACTTTTAATATTTTATATTCTTCTATTTTTGAGTTTTCGTAAGCATCATTACATATGAATTTCATAAAACCAAGACATTCGAGAAATACATAATACATACCCAGAACTGGTTCTGTAATGTTAAGTAAAGAAATGCAACCAGGAGGGGTAAATTCTGTCTGTCCCAGATCACATTCCAAATAGTCAACGCAGGGAAGACTGCAAATTTTTAAAAAGAAAAAAGAAAGAAAATCCTAACTAGCTTTACTCGGTAGAAAGGATAATCAGACAGTAAAGATTTCACGTGACACACAGGCGTAATCCACCCCACACAGCACTTTAAAGTGAAGCCCCAAGATGACAATCGCTGTTTAAAAACGAGTCCAGAGAAATGCAGTGCAGACGTGGTCACAATGTCCATTTATAACATGGGCACAACTTGCTCTTTCAGAGAATTTTTTTTTCCCCAGACGGAGTCTCACTCTGTCGCCCAGGTTGGAGTGCAGTGGCGCAATCTCGGCTCGCTACAACCTCCGTTTCCCAGGCTCGAGCAATTCTCCTGCCTCACCCTCCCAAGCAGCTGGGATTACAGGCATGTGCCACCACGCCCGGCTAATTTTTGTATTTTTAGTAGAGACGGGGTTTCACCATGTTGGCCAGGCTGGTCTTGAATTCCTGACCTCAAGTGATCCACCCGCCTCGGCCTCCTAAAGTGCTGGGATTAAAGGCATGAGCCACCACACCTGGCCATCTTTCACGTAAGATTATTTTCTCTTGAGACAGGGTGCCACTGAGTCACCCAGGCTGGAGTACAGGGATCAGAACTCACAGCAGCCTCGACCTCCTGGGCTCAAGCAATACTCCCTCCTTAGCCTCCCAAGTAGCTGGGACCACAGGCACATGCCACCACGCCCGCCTAATTTCTAAATTTTTTGTAGAGACAGGGTCTCATTACGTTGCCCAGGCTGGTCCCAAACTCCTGTGCTCAAGCAATCCTACCTCAGCTTCCCAAAGTGCTGGGATTACAGGCAGAAGCCACAGTGCCTTTTTTTTTTTTTTTTTTTTTTTTTTTTGGAGATAGAGTCAAAAAAAAAAGTCAGGAGAGGTCAGGAGATCAAGACTATCCTGGCTAACATGGGGAAACCCCATCGCTACTAAAAATACAAAAAATTAGCCAGGCGTGGTGGTGGGCGCCTGTAGTCCCAGCTATTTGGGAGGCTGAGGCAGGAGAATGGCATGAACCTGGGAGGAGGAGCGTGAAGTGAGTTGAGATGGTGCCACTGCACTCCAGCCTGGGCGACAGAGCGAGACTCCGTCTCAAAAAAAAAAAAAAAAAAAAAGGCCGGGTGCAGTGGCTCACACCTGTAATCCCAGCACTTTCGGAGGCTGAGGCCGGTGGATCACGAGGTCAGGAGATCGAGACCATCCTGGCTAACACGGTGAAATCCAGTCTCTACTAAAAATACAAAAGAAAATTAGGCCAGGCGCGGTGGCTCAAGCCTATAATCCCAGCACTTTGGGAGGCCAAGACGGGCGGATCACGAGGTCAGGAGATCGAGACCATCCTGGCTAACATGGTGAAACCCCGTCTCTACTAAAAATACAAAAAACTAGCCGGGCGAGGTGGCGGGCGCCTGTAGTCCCAGCTACTCGGGAGGCTGAGGCAGGAGAATGGCGTAAACCCGGGAGGCGGAGCTTGCAGTGAGCTGAGATCCGGCCACTGCACTCCAGCCCGGGCTACAGAGCAAGACTCCGTCTCAAAAAAAAAAAAAAAAAAAGAAAAGAAAATTAGCCGGACATGGTGGCAAGCTCCTGTAGTCCCAGCTACTTGGGAGGCTGAGGCAGGAAAATGGCATGAACCTGGGAGGCGGAGCTTGCAGTGAGCTGAGATCGTGCCACCGCACTCCAGCCTGAGCGACAAGAGCGAAACTCTGTCTCAGAAACAAACAAACAAACAAACAAACAAACAACTAGCCAGATGTGGTGGTGCTCTACTATGGTCCCAGATACTTGGTAGGCTAAAGTGGGACGACTGCTTGAACCCAGGACGTCAAGGCTGCAGCAAGCCGTGTTCATTCCACTATACTTTTGGCTGGGCAACATAGTCAGACCTGGTCTCAAAAAAAAAAAAAAAAAAAAATTAAAAGAAAATTCCGGCTGGGCGCGGTGGCTCACTCCTGTAATCCCAGCACTTTGGGAGTCCGAGATGGGCAGATCACGAGGTCAGAAGATAGAGATCATCCTGGCTAACACAGGGAAACCCTGTCTCTACTAAAAATACAGAAAATTAGCCAGGTGTGGTGGCAGGCGCCTGTAGTCCCAGCTACTCGGGAGGTTGAGGCAGGAGAATGGTGTGAACCCGGGAGGCGGGGCTTGCAGTGAGCCGAGATTGCGCTACTGCACTCCAGCCTGGGCGACAGAGAGAGACTCCATCTCAAAAAAAAAAAAAAAAGAAAATTCCCAGGAGTTCAAGACCAGACTGGGCAACACAGCAAGACCTCGTCCCTACAAAAAAAATTAAAATAAGAAAATTAGCCAGGCATGGTGGCCCATGGCTGAGTCCCAGCTGCTTAGGAAGCTGAGGTGGGAGGATTGCGCTTGAGCCTAGGAGTTCAAGACTATGAGGTATGATTGTGCCACTGCACTCCAGCCTGAGCGAGACCCTGTCTGAAAAAAAAAACAAAACAAACCACACGCATATACCAGAACTTATGAATACAGACTCTGAGACCAAGTGTCTCCTCTTGGAAGTTCACCTGCAGGCAAGGTAGTCAGCCCACACTAGAGCATTGTCATACACTGCAAAGCAGAGGGCAGTGAGGACCAGATGCTTCAGCTGGGCAGCTTTAGAACTGTATGTAATCTCTAGCTAGAAGCCAAGAAGCACTCCCTCCAAATCAAAAATCCCACTTAATGCCAAAAACCCAGCAACGTGTCAAAGCCATAAGAAAACACTCTTACCTATTTAACAACTGGTTAATCAGGTATCTATTAAATGTTGACTTTCCAACATCCTGGGATCCACAAACTAGAATGACAGGGCAGCCATCTACTTCTTCTGAAGGGGAAACAAACATTGATCGCTAGAATTAGCCATCTTCCTTGGACTGGAATTATGACTAATAATCATCTGGGGGTTTGGTGGACAGACACTCAGGGTGATCAGTGTGTATTACTCACCACAGGAAACGCTGACTAACTCTTCCAGGGCTGAAAGGGTACTCTCGGTTAACTGAAGGCCTTTCCTTTTTTTCTCTTTTCTGATGCCAACAGACCTCAAGGCTAAATATTCAGGTTTAATCTGGGGAGTTGGACTCTGAAATCAACAATTTAAACTTTAAGGTGAAAAAATGCATAGTTTTTTCTTCAGTACTAAATTAAACAAGCCTCACCCAGTTGTGAGACCAAGAAGATAAATTGTTTCCTCCCTTTGTCTCCTGCCCCAAAATCCAGCCCATCAACAAGTGTTGCCAACTCTATTCCTGAAGTTATCCATGTCTGTTTTCAGTTTCTGCTTTCTCCCGAGCTGCCACTGCCTCCACAGCAGACTCCAGATAAAAAGATAATGCCTGGTAAGACATGACTGCACAGGAAGCATTCAGCAAGGGGCCCTGGCTCTAGACCAGGTGAGTGATGCAGAGTTAAGTCAAGGCAACCTCTGAAAACATAAAGCAAAAACACACAGAACATATGCAAACAGAGTTGAAAGGAGGGAGAACACAGGTCTGTGAAGTCCAGGACTGGAAAAGCAACCCAAGGAAAGGAAGAGCAGACCCTTGCTGAGGCAGGTAAGGCTCAGTTGGAACCAGCTCACCACAGAAGAGGATGAAGGAAGGGACCCTCTCCATGAGCACATCCTCTTGCAATTCATCAACACTGAGAATAAAGACATCATAGGCCGGGCGCGGTGGCTCACGCCTGTAATCCCACCACTTTGGGAGGCCGACACGGGCAGATCACCTGAGGTCAGGAGTTCGAGACCAGCCTCAACATGGAGAAACCCTGTCTCTACTAAAAATACAAAATTAGCCTGACATGGTGGCACATCCCTGTAATCCCAGTTACTCGGGAGGCTGAGGCAGGAGAATTGCTTGAACCTGGGAGGCGGAGGTTGCAGTGAGCTGAGATTGTACCACTGCACTCCAGCCTGGGCAACAAGAGCAAAACTCCGTCTCAAAAAAAAAAAAAAAAAAAAAAAGATGAGCAAAACCCGTCTCAAAAAAAAAAAAAAAAGGATATCATAAAGAAATGGGGAAGTGGCTGGGTGCAGTGGTGCATGCCTGTAATTCCAGCTACTTGGGAGGCTGAAGCACAAGAACTGTCTGAACTCAGGAGGTGGAGGCGGCAGGGTCAAGATTGTGGCACTGCACTCCAGCCTGGGCGATAGAGCGAGACTGTGTCTGTGTCTCAAAAAATAAAAATACGGTGGCCTGCTTCGTAATCCCAGCACTTTGGGAGGCCGAGACGTGGTGGATCATGTCAGGAGATTGAGATCCTGGCTAACAGGGTAAAACCTCTACTAAAAATACAAAAACTAGCTGGGCGAGGGCGGGGCGCCTGTAGTCCCAAATACTCGGGAGGCTGAGGCAGGAGAATGCAGCGTGAACCTGGGAGCTTGCAGAGCTGAGATCCGGCCACTGCACTCCAGCCTGGGCAACAGAGCAAGACTCGTCTCAAAAATAAATAAATAAATAAATAAATAAAAATAAATAAAATAAAAATAAAAAAAAAAAGAGAAGCAGTCATGTGAGGCTTCATATTGGTAATGCTGGATCCTAGAAAACAATAGAACAAAGCCTTCAACAATTTGAGAAAAAGTCTTCTGAACTAACCATTCTACACTATGTGTAATTATTTAATCACTGAGGGCAAAACAAGAACATCTAATAAAAATTAGATAATCAAGTTTACTATCCTCCATATGTGAAAAAACAACTCCAGAATTTACTGACATCCAGAGGGTGGGATAGGAGAAAAGTATCTAGAGAGCATAAGAAATATGAAGAGTGGTGGTGAAGTCCCAGAAAAAAACAGATAAAGCTGAAAATAAATGTAAAAAGAATGTCGCTGCCCAATGGCATCTGGAACATTCACTTTCAGTAAGAAAGGCTTGAGAACAGGCAATTTCCATCTCCTTCTCTGCAGTCCTGGTCCAGCTACTGCACCTGCAGTGACTAACAGGCAACCACACAGCTCCGTTCACTGTCCGGCTCTCATTTCCTCTCTCCTTTCACTTCAAATTCCCCACACCCACCTCGTATCTATCTGCTTCCCACACGGTGATGACTCGGTTCCATTTCCCAGTAGCAGGAAATAATCAGAGACAACTTCTACTTCCTCTGGCCCTCTCCAGGACTTCTCCAGCCACTATGAACGACCTGGCTATACTCCTAAGGCCACATGATGCCGGAACCGGAACTATCCCTAGTAGCCAACTTAGACATAGTTCCGGCAGCCTCTCCTCTCTTCTGCTGCATGGTTACCTCCTCTCTCTGGATCATTCCCATCTGCCATGTTCCCGGCATGTTTTTTCATCCATCTTAACAAATTTTCCATAAACTTCTCCTGATCATACTTACCCCTCCAACTACTGCTTCATTTCTTTCCTTCCCTTTACAGCTAACTTCTACCAAAGCAAAAATACTTTACTACTAAACCCGTGAGTCCTCTCCGCCCAGGCTCTGACCTCATTCTAATCAGGCTACTTTCCGGCCTCTACAGCCAGCGCTTTCTCAGGTCTCACCTGACCACCAGCAGCATTTATCACTGCTGTTCAGTTAAGTCTCTATTTAAAGACTTCCTGGACCTACAGGATAGACACACTGCTTCACTGAAACCAATGACTATCTGCTGCTCCCTCATCTTTGCCTGACCTCTTCTGAGTTTCAGGCTCAGAGCAGAACTGTCTTGTTTCTATCTATTCAACTCCATAGGCATTATTATTGCATCTGGTGGCCTGGGTATCCTCTCTGCTGAAGGCTCCCATATTTCCACCTCCAAACTCTTCCCTGAACTCCAGACTCATATATTCAACTGCCCACTTGACATGTCCAGCTGGATATCTACCAGGCATCTCTGGCTAACATATCGAAACCCACTCCTCCTGCAGTGACCCCATTCCAGTTAATGGCAACTACATGCACCTCAGTGGTTAAGCTAAACCTGTGATTCCTTGATTCTTCCTCACCCCTCACATATCCAGTCTGTCTGCCAATACTGCGGATTAGACTCCACCTACTGGCCCATGGGAGACAATTATAGTAATAGAACTTAAGGAAATGAAAAAAAGAACTTAAGGAAATGAATAATATGGCTAGCAAAATTTAGAGATGAGGCTGACACGTGGCTCACACCTGTAATCTCAGCACTTTTGGAGGCAGGTGGATTGCTTGGGTCCAAGAGCTCGTGACCAGCCTGGGCAACACAGCAAAATCCTGTCTCTACAAAAACTACAAAAATTAGCCGGGAGTCATGGCGTGTACCTGTAATCCCAGCTACTGAGAGGTCTTCGGTGGGAGGATCACCTGAGCCCGGAAAGGTTGAGGCTGCAGTGAGCTGAGATCTTGCCACTGTACTCCAGCCTGGGCAACAGAGACTTTATCTCAAAAAATACAAATAAAAGTTTCTTCTAGGACGTTGTCTACAGGAAGTGAGAATGGTCCAGCATTTGACACACCATCATAGGCTTTTCTACACACACCGTCATAGGCTTCCTACGGTACAATCGTATGGCTTCCTACAATTACACCTCATGGGCTAGGCTTCCTTACAATACACCGTGCTAGCTCTCACAATACACCGTGCTAGACTTCCTACAATACACCGTGCTAGGCTTCCTACAATACACCGTGCTAGGCTTCCTACAATACACCGTGCTAGGCTTCCTACAATACACCGTCATAGGCTTCCTACAATACACCGTCATAGGCTTCCTACAATACACCGTCATAGGCTTCCTACAATACACCGTACAGGGCTTCCCTACAATACACCGTGCTAGGCTTCCTACAATACACCGTGCTAGGCTTCCTACAATACACCGTGCTAGGCTTCCTACAATACAATCGTACAGGTTTCCTACAATACACCGTGCTAGGCTTCCTACAATACAATCGGCCATAGGCTTCCTACAATACACTGTCATAGGCTTCCTACAATACACTGTCATAGGCTTCCTACAATACACCGTCATAGGCTTCCTACAATACAGCCTTGTTTTGTTAGGAGCCTGAACCCTGGTAATAAAACTGTTTCTGTCTTGTAACAAGAAGGTTGGGAAAACACCAAAATCTGCATTGGCGGTGGGGCCCAGGCAGGCTTCGAGGGGTCTATGCCATGAGACCTAAAGTTCTTTTTTTTTGAGACGGATTCTCACTCTGTCTCCCAGGCTGGAGTGCGTGGTGCACCTCCGCCTCATTGCAAACCTCCGTCTCCCAGGTTCCAGCAATTCTCCTGCCTCAGCCTCTGGAGTAGCTGAGATTACAGGCGTGTGCCCCACGTCCAGCTAATTTTTTGTATTTTTAGTAGAGATGGGGTTTCACCATGTTGGCCAGGCTTGGCCTTCAACTCCTGACCTCAAGTGATCTGCCCATCTCGGCCTCCCAAAGTGCTGGGATTATAGGCATGAGTCACCGCGCCTGGCCAAGATCTAAAGTTCTTATGAGATTGTCCAAAACAAAAAACATGTCAGCAAAGCCTACGGTGGTTCCATGTGTGCTAAATGTGTTCAAGACAAGACAGAATCAAGTGTGCTTTCCTTCTCGAGGAGGAGAACATCATTGTAAAAGTGTTGAAGGCACAAGCACAGAGTCAGAAAGCTAAATAAAAATGAATCCTTTTGAGTAATGAAAATTAAGACTCGTTAAAAAAATTAGAGGTAAGAGGTAAAAGAAAATATGGCACATTTAAACTACTCATTCATAGCTAAATTTATTATCTCAAATTAATAAACAGAGATATAAAGAGTAAATCATTAAATCCTAAAAAGGCCAGGCGTGGTGGCTCACACCTATAATCTCAGCACTTTGGGAGGCAGAGGTGGGTGGATCACCTGAGGTCAGGTTCTGAGACCAGACTGGCCAACATGGTGAAACCCTGTCTGTACCAAAAAACACAAAAATTAGCCGGGCATGGTGGCATGCACCTGTGGTCCCAGCTACTCGGGGGGCTGAGGCAGGAAAATCACTTGAACCCAGGAGGCGGAGGTTGCAGTGAGCCGACACTGCACCACTGCACTCCAGCCTGGTGACAGACTGAGACTCCATCTCAAAACAAAAAACAAAAAACAAGAAAACAAAAATTAGTCGGGCATGGTGGCAGGCTGTAATCCCAGCTACTTGAGAGGCTGAGGTAGGAGAATCGCTTGACCCTGGGAAGTGGGGGTTGCAGTGAAGTTGAGGTCACACCGCTACACTCCAGCCTGAGTGACAGAGCAAAACTCCATCTCAAAAAACAAAAAACAAAAAACAAAACAAAACCAAAAGCAGGTTGAGCATGGTGTTAACAAAAACCCAAAAAGCACATAACCAACTACGATATAAAATGTTGGCTGAGGAATGAAACTGAGGGAGGGAGGATGAACATTTTTCACGATATACCTTTTCTTTTTTTTTTTTTTGAGACGGAGTCTGGCTGTGTCACCCAGGCTGGAGTGCAGTGGCGCGATCTCGGCTCACTGTAAGCTCCGCCTCCCGGGTTTACGCCATTCTCCTGCCTCAGCCTCCGAGTAGCTGGGACTCCAGGCGCCCGCCACCACGCCCCCTCAGTTTTTTGTATATTTTAGTAGAGACGGGGTTTCACCATGTTAGCCAGGATGATCTCGATCCCCTGACCTTGTGATCCACCCGTCTCGGCCTCCCAAAGTGCTGGGATTACAGGCTTGAGCCACCGCGCCTGCCCACGATATACCTTTCATACTATTTTCTCTGTATACACGTATTACATTCTGTAGAACCGAGAGCACTATATGGACAAACTGCTCTTCCAAGACAACATCCTACATAGTCATTTGATATCACTGTTTTGGTGCAAGTAATTAGCAAATCTCTGAATAAAAACGGGTTCTACCTCTTGCACAAAAATGTAGGATGAACCTGGATAGCTGGTTATGAAGTTTACAGAGGCAGTTTTCAGATGTTCTAGCAACACAATGGAACACTGAAGAGAAAAATTTGCATCGACTCAACGCCTGTCATCTGTAAAGAGAAAAGAAAACCACCTTAGAAGCACTAACTTCATTACATTCCACACCCTTTAGACTGCCATCTCTCGGCTAAACTATAAACTTTAGGAGTAGGAATTATGGTTGAGAGCCTTTTTCAGGGGGCCATACTGCATACTAAGAACACACCTGGGGGGAGAAGTCAATCCAGGTTTGCCACATAATAATTTTGTGGCCTTGAACAATTTTTCTTGTCAGTAAAATGGTGATAACAATAGTACTTTCACTTTCAGGACCCTTGTAAGGGTTTATATACATATAGCAAAGTCCTTGGCACACTGTCTAGACCATAGTAAGCATCTTAAAAAAATTTTTTTTTGAGACCAGTCTCTGGCTTGTCGCCCAGGCTGCAGGGCAGTGGCTCAATCTCGCTTACTACAAGCTCCGCCTCCCAGGTTCACACCATTTTCCTGTCTCAGCCTCCCCACCACCACACCCAGCTAATTTTTGCATTTTTATTTTTATTTTTATTGTATTTAGAGACGGAGTCTACTCTGTCACCCAGGCTGGAGTGCAGTGCACGATTCACCACCGTGCCGCCTCCCAGGTTCACGCCATTCTCCTGCCTCAGCCTCCCGAGTAGATGGGGCTACAGGCGCCACACCACAGCTTGGCTAATTTTTTTTTTTGGTATTTTTAGTAGAGACAGGGTTTCACCGTGTTAGCCAGGATGGTCTCAATCTCCTGACCTCGTGATCCGCCCACGTCAGCCTCCCAAAGTGCTGGGATTACAGGCGTGAGCCACTGCGCTCAGCCCAAAAAATTATTAATTAGCATTAGCACAGTAGGCCCTCAGTAAATTACCCAGTTCTTTTCATTACCAAGGTTAAGATGAGATTTGAGCAAATTCGGCTTCCTTGTGAGTTCTTTCTTGCTTTTCTCAGGCAACGAGTAATGGGGCGCATGGATACTCAAGCAAGAGTGGGTATACACAGAGAAGATGTCTCGGGCAGGCTGGCCTTGGCTGATGGTAAAACCAAATACCTGCACCTGGCCATAGAGGCAGGTCACACGGCAGATGCCACTGAAAGTAAAACCCTAGCACGGAAAGAAAACAGAAAGCACAAACATTATACATCCTGTCACTAATGACTGAAACATTCTAAAATCTTTTTTTTCTTTTTCTTTTTTTTTTGAGACAGAGTTTCACTCTTGTTGCCCAGGCTGGAGTGCAATGGCGCTATCTCGGCTCACTGCAAACTCTGCCTCCCAGGTTCAAGCGATTCTCCTTCCTCAGCCTCCCGAGTAGCTGGAATTACATGCATGTGCCACTATGCTCGGCTAATTTTGTATTTTTGTAGAGACGGGTTTCTCCATGTTAGCTTCAGGCTGGTCTCGAACCCCAATCAGGTGATCCACCAGCCTCGGACTCCCAAAGTGCTGGGATTACAGGCATGAGCCACCGCACTTGGCCAGATTCTAAAATTCCAACTTGCTATTCACATTAATAGGCAGGTAAGGCCAGCACAGTGGCTCGCACTCGTGAAGCTGAGGCAGGAGGATCACTTGAGCCCAGGCGTTTAAGATCAGCCTGGGCAACAGAGTGAGATCTCTGTTTACAAACATTTAAAATTAGCAGGGTGCAGTGGCATGCATCTGTGGTCCTAGTTACTTGGGAGGCTGAGATGGGTAGACTGCTTGAGTCTCTGGGTAGAGGCTGCAGTGAGCCATAATTACACCACTCCACTCCATCAATAATAAACATTGGGCCAGGCACGGTGATCCACGCCAGTAACCCCTGACCTCTGGGAGAAGGAGGCAGATCACTGAGGCGGGAGTTTGAGACCAGCCTGGGACAACATGGCAACCCCAGCACCCCAATCTCCACTGCCACCACCTCTACTAAAAACCACAAAATTAGCCGGGCATGCCTGTAATCCCAGCTACTCCCAGAGAGGGTGAGGCATGAGAATCACTTGAACTCCAGAGGCAAAGGTTGCAGTGAGCTAAGATCATGCCGCACTGCAGCCTGGGTGACATGATACTGTCTCAAAAAATAAACAAATAATAAAATAAAAATTAACATAAATAAAAAATTTAAAAGGCTATGGTCATAAAAAGGAATGAGATCATGTCCTTGCAGGGACATGATGACAGTCATATCCTCAGCAACCTATTCAGGTACAGAAAATCAAATATTGGCCAGGCACAGTGGCTCAAGCCTGTAATTCCAGCATTTGAGGCCGAGGCGAAGGATCACAATGTCAGAGATCAAGACTATCCTGGCTAACATGGTGAAACCCCATCGCTACTAAAAAAAATACAAAAAAATTGGCCAGGTGTGGTGGCGGGTGCCTGTAGTCCCAGCTACTCAGGAGGCTGAGGCAGAAGAATGGCGTGAACCCAGGAGGCGGAGCTTGCAGTGAGCTGAGATTGCACCACTGCACTCCAGCCTGGGTGGCAGAGTGAGAGGAAGGAGAGAGGGAGGGAGGGGAAAAGAAAGGAAGGAAGGGGAGGAAGGGAGGGGAAAAGGAAGGAAAGAAAGGAAAAGGAAAGAGAGAGCTGGGGGCACAGTGGCTCGCTTCATAATCTCAGCACTTGAGAGGCCTAGGTGGGCGGGATCACCTGAGGTCTCAGAGTTTGAGACCAGCCTGGTCTGCTCCTCGGCCTCCCAAAGTGCTGGCATTACAGGCGTGAGCCACCGCGCGCCCAGCCCTTCCTTTTCCTTAGAGTAGCTGGGATTACAGGAGTGTGCCATCACACTCAGCTAATTTTTGTATTTTTAGTAGAGACGAGGTTTCACTCATGTTGAAAGTCAGGCTAGTCCCAAACTTCTGACCTCAGGTGATCTGCCAGCTTCAGCCTCCCAAAGTGCTGGGATTACAGGTGGAACCATCGCGGCCTGGCCCATACTTTATATTTTTAACCTTAGATCATACCCCATGGCAGCTACAGAGAGGCGGCGTGACTGTGAACCTCGGCCTGTGCTCCTGGTTCAGACAGTCTACCACTTATCCTTTAAAGACCCACAGCTTGCTAAGTCTTCTGGCAGAACTTCCTGGGTTCTGACTTCCCTCCAGCATTAGACAGGGAATCTCCCAGAAATGGCGTCCATGTTAAGAATCAGGCTGCTCTGAGTTTGACTCTAGCTTCCCTCTACTGTGTAAGTTACCCAACCTCAGTCTTTCCATCTGTAAACATACTTTAGAGATAGGGGCAACTATTCCATAAGAGAGCTGATGTTGAAATGGAATTAAAGCCTAAAACACTTCAAACCCTTAAATCCTGGAATTTTGGAGTTTCAGTAATTGCAACTTTTTTTTTTTTTAACACCTGTAATCCCAGCACTTTGGGAGGCTGAGGCAGGTGGATCACAAGGTCAGGAGATCGAGACTATCCTGGCTAACATGGTGAAACCCCATCTCTACTAAAAATACAAAAATATAGGCCAGGTGATGTGGCACACTGTAGTCCCAGCTACCGAGACTGGAGCCAGGAATTGCTTCAACCCGGATGCAGAGGTGTTGCAGTGAGCCCAGTGATCGCGCCACTGCACTCCAGGCCTGGCGTCACAGCAAGACTACCTCTCAAAAAAAAAAAAAAAAAATTCCCTTTCAGGGCCAGGCGCCGCGGTTCCCGTCTGTAAGCCCAGCACTTCGGAGGCCGAGGCGGATGGGTCACTTGAGGTCAGCCTGGCCAACATGGAGAAACCTCGTCTCTACTAAAAATACAAAAATTAGACCGGGGCAGTGGCTCACGCCTGTAATCCCAGCACTTTAGAGGTGGATCACCTGAGGTCAGGAGTTCGAGATGAGCTCCGACTCAACAGGGTGAAACCCCGTCTCTATTGTACGAAAATTGGCAGGGCGCGGTGGCTCCTGCCTGTAATCCCAGCACTTTGGGAGGCCGAGACGGGCGGATCACAAGGTCAGGAGATCAAGCCCATCCTGGCGAACACGGTGAAACCCCGTCTCTACTAAAAATACAAAAACTAGCCGGGCGAGGTGTATGGCGCCTGTAGTCCCAGCTACTCAGGAGGCTGAGGCAGGAGAATGGTATAAACCTGGGAGGCGGAGCTTGCAGTGAGCTGAGATCCAGCCACTGCACTCCAGCCGGGCGACAGAGCAGACTCGGTCTCAAAAAAAAAAAAAAAAAAAAAAATCCAAAAATTAGCCAGGTGTGGTGGCCAGCACCTGTAATCCCAGCTACTTGCAGGCTGAGGCGGACAATCACTTGAACTCTGGCGGCAGAGGTTGCAGTGAGCCGAGACTACGCCTACTCGCACTCCAGCCTGGGCGACAAGAGTGAAACTCCATCTCAAAAATACAAATAAAAATACAAAAAATTAGCCGGGCGAGGTGGCGCTGTAGTCCCAGCTACTCAGGAGGCTGAGGCACGAGAAGCACTTGCCACCGGGGCCGAGGCTGTAGTGAGCCGAGATCGCCACTGCACTCCAACCTGGGGGAACAGACTGAGACTTTGTCTCAAAAAAAAATAAATAGGCCGGGCGCGGTGGCTCAAGCCTGTAATCCCAGCATCTTAGAGGCCGAGACGGGCGGATCACGAGGTCAGGAGATCGAGACCATCCTGGCTAACACAGTGAAACCCCGTCTCTACTAAAAATACAAAAACTAGCCGGGCGTGGTGGCGGGCGCCTGCTGTCCCAGCTACTCGGGAGGCTGAGGCAGGAGAATCACTTGACTGGAGGCGGAGTTTGCAGTGACGAGATCCAGCCATCACTCCAGCCTGGGCGACAGAGTGAGACTCCGTCTCAAAAAAAATAAATAAATAAAATTAAATTAAATTAAAAATAAAAATAAATAAAAAATAAATAAAATAAAGTCCCTTTAGCTCTTAAGGCCTAGACCCTTAGCAGGGCAAATTGGGTTACTCTTACAAGCTAGGAGCCTAGCTGCCAGCACCAAGAAGATGGACTTGAACTGACTGACAGCCGTGAGAGGCCCGGAGGGACCACGGTCCCTCTCCTACCCTGCAGCTCTCCTGGGCTGCCTGCCCGCCCTCCCTGCCCTGGGGACCTTCTGCCGGCGTCCCCCACCTACCCGCTCGACCGGCAGCAGCAGTAACGGGCGCGGCCCGGCCCACTGGCCGCACTGGCGGATAAGGAGAGGCCGGCGGCAACTCGAAGCGGATTCCGAATTGGATTCGGGTTCGAGGCCGGGTCGGGCTAGGGATCGGGCTGGTCGCGGTCTTGGGTCTCCGCCGCCGCTGCGCGCGACACCTGACGGGCTCCTCCTCCAGTCCACGCCGGCCGCCTGGGCTTGCAGTAATCGCCGCCGTAGGCGCCGCCGACCGCACCAGCGCAGGGTCCCGAGCCGGCGGCGGGGCCGGCGGCTGAGGATGAGCTGGGGCTGGCCTTGCGGGCCCGCAGCCAGGTGGAACGGCATGAACCCCGCTTTAGCAGCAGCCCCGAGTCCGCCATGCTGGATACTGGGACCCTACCACGCGATAAAGTCGCGAGATCCCGTCGCCCGCCCTCTGCCCGCCCAGTTGCCGAAAGCGAGCGGCCTTCGCCAGCGTCCTCTGCCGACAACCTCCGGAAGTATTAATAGAAGCTCTGCCGGCCTGGTCGAGGGCTCCACCGAGGACTCCCATTTACATTATGCAAATTTCCCTACCCCAGTCGGTCGGAGAGGGAAAAGTCAGAACCTCATGACCAGCCAGGGCCACCTCTCCGGAAATCCACCGAGGCTTTTTTCTCCTGCAGAAAAGCTTTAGGATTGGCAGTTTAAACAAAACATGCTCCATTTGCATACTTTAGGTTTGCATGCATTTGTCTCGAAGTGAGCAACCCTGGGTAACAAGGGGGAAGTTATGACGATTTGCTCAGAATCTTATTGTCAGAAACTAGAGTCTGGGGGTAGGGGGTCACACCAAAAAGCTGTGTTCTATTTAGTAAATTGAGGTGCACAGGGTAAAAGTTCTAAAATCCTCACAATACTGGGAGAAGTTGTGTTCTGCTTCCTCCCACCTTGCCCTAAAATGCCAGGGCTCCCTTTCTAAGCTAGGTAAGTCACAGATAGACAGAACTCACAAACCGTCCAGAGGAAGGGTCACTGGGTGCCACCTGAGCCATCTGTGCCTTCATCCTGCCTATTTCTGAGTTGGACCCGCAGGCCGAATATCAAGGCAAACAGTCCTGCTTCAGCCACTCGGGCCCTGGGCTCGAAGTCCCACTCCCTTTCGGGGCATACAGAGCATCCGCACCTGCCTTCTCTATTTAAGCAACTGGCCTCCTTAGAGGCCACTTGCCATGGGCGCATGTCTGGCCAGCATGCTGCTCTGCACACAGCTTGCTCTGGTTAGCCTGCAGCTTCTCATTTCTGCTGCTGGGCCTTGCCTGCCATAGCACTGAGCTTCTCCTGACTTCACCTCCTGGGATTACCTCCTGGCAGGCCTGTTCCCTCTCCATTCTGGCTGTCTGCAGGTGAGGCACAGACCGAGGTGACCCTGTGTGTGACAGGTGAGGGTTCAGCAGAGCCACACTTAGTGGGACCCCTGGCTACAGGACCTCTGCCTGCCATCCTCAACCAGGACCTTGCCTCTGCCTTTTCCTCTGAACTGCCCCAGGCCTTGTCCATCAATCCACTTGCCACCTAAGTGCTGGCTAGACCTTCCCAGACACTTCAGCCAGTTTCCAATTATTTCGCCTGCTGTTAGAATGTGCTTGTAACCCACTGAAATTGGCGTTCTGGCTTTGTACTGTACCTAGATGGCCAGGCCTAAGCAAGGGATGCCCTTTTCCCTTCTATCTTCTCTCAACTCCCACCTATTCAAAGCTCCTAGAGTCCCAGATGACAAGTATGGTTCTCCATAGGGGTGGCAAGGTAAGACATATCCCACAGATGCTTTAGGAGCTTAGGTTGGTGTCATTGTGAGGTCAACAATCTAGGTAGAGGGGAACTACTGCTTTTATTTATTTATATTTTATTTATTTTTTATTTTTTTGAGATGGAGTCTCGTGCTGTCATCCAGGCTGGAGTGCAGTGCAATCTTGACTCACTGAACCTCCTGGGCTCAAGCATTCTATGCCTTACCATCGGGAGAGAGAATTATAGGTGTGCCACCACACCTGGCTAAATTCTTTTTGTATTTTTCGGGGAGAGACAGGGGGTTTCACCACGTTGGTCGGGCTAGTCTCGAACTCCCAACCTCAGGTAATCCGCCTACTCAAGGCCTCCCAAAGCACTGGGATTATGAGTGTGAGCCACCACGCCCAGCCTGCTTTCTTTCTCTTTTTTTTTTTTTTTTTTTTTTTTTTTGAGACGTGGAGTTCGCTTGTCGCTTTCAGGCTGGAGTGCAGTGGTCGATTCAGCCTCACTGCAGCCTCGGGCCCCGGGTTCACGCCATTCTCTGCTCAGCCTCCTCGAGGCTGGGACCAGGCGCCGCCACCCGCCCAGCTAGTTTTACTTTTAATAGAGACGGGGTTTCACCTGTTAGCCAGGATAGTTCCGATCTCTTGACCTCGTGATCCGCCAAGGGGTAGCCTCCAAAGTGCTGGGATTACAGGCTTGAGCCATCACGCCCGGCCTCCTTTTTTTTTTGTTTGAGACTGGTCTTGCTTGTCACTCAGGCTGGAGTGCAGTGGCACTATTCGTCACGGTAGCTCAAGTCTGGTTCACGCCATGCCTGAGCCTGCCGTAAGGCTGGGAATTACAGGCGCCCACCACCTCGCCTCGGCCAGTTTTTTGTAGCTTAGTAGAGACGGGAGCCACTGCAGCAACAGATGGTTCCGATTTCTGACCGATCCGCCTATCTTCGTTTCCCAGCGCTGGGATTACAGGCATAAGCCACTGAGCCCAGCCCTACTTTTTGTACTTTTAATAAAGACAGGTTTCGGCCAGGTATGCAGGAAGCTCACGCCTGTAACCCAGCACTTGAAGGCTGAGGAGGGCGGATCACAAGGTCAAGAGATTGAGACCATCCTGGCTAACATGGTGAAACCCCGTCTCTACTGAAAACACAAAAAATTAGACGGGTGTGGTGGTGGGCGCCTGTAGTCCCAGCTACTCGGGAGGCTGAGGCAGGAGAATGGCGTGAACCCAGGAGGCAGAGCTTGCAGTCAGCCTAGATCGCGCCACTGCACTCCAGCCTGGGCAACAGAGCAAGACTCCATCTCAAAATAAATAAATAAATAAATAAATAAAGACAGAGTTTCACTATGTTGGCCAGGCTGGTCTCGAACTCCTGGCCTCAAGTGATCCACCCACCTTGGCCTCCCAAAGTGCTGGGATTACAGTCGTGATCCGCTGTGCCCAGCCAGAAGGTATTTTTTAGATTTAGTAAACATTTATATCAATAGAATTGAGCTGGGCACGGCGGCTCACGCCTGTAATCCAAGCAACTTTGGGGGGCTGAGGCAGGTGGATTGCCTGAGCTCAGGCGTTCGAGACCAGCCTGGGCAACATAGTGAAACCCTGTCTCTACTAAAATACAAAAAAATTAGCTGGGAGTGGTGGCATGCGCCTGTAATCCCAGTTACTTGGGAGGCTGAGGAAGGATAATTGCTTGAACCTGGGAGGTGGAGGTTGCAGTGAGCAGAGATCACACCATTGCACTGGTCAACGTGTCAAACCCCGTCTCCACTAAAAATACAAAAAGTAGATGGATGTGTGGGTGCACACCTGCAATCCCAGCTACTCTGGAGGCTAAGGCAGGAGAATTGCTTGAACTGGGATCGGGGGCATGGAGGTTGCAGTGAGCCGAGATCGTGCCATTACACTCCAGCCTGGGCAACAAGGCAACAAGAGTGAAACTCCGTGTCAAAAAAAAAAAAAAAAAAAAGAGAGAGAGAGAGAGAGAAAAAAAAAGCCAGGTGCGGTGGTTCAGTGTAATCCCAGCACTTTGGGAGGCCAAGGTGGGCAGATCACCTGAGGTCAGGAGTTCGAGACAGCCTGACCAACATGGAGAAACGCCCTCTCTACTAAATATACAAAATTACCCGGGCATGGTGGCATATACCTGTAATCCCAGCTACTCGGGAGACTGAGGCCGGAGAATCACTCGAACCTGGGAGGCAGAGTTTGCAGTGAGGCGAGATTGTGCCATTGCACCACAGCCTGGGCAACAAGAGCAAAACTCCATCTTGTAAGGTTAGCCGAGAGAAAGAACGAGTAGACCCAAAGTCAGGCAAGCAAGTTTATTAACCTGCTGGGCTGCCCCACAGCAATCCGAGGAAGCAGCAGCCCGGGCTTACAGACTAGAGGGTATAAGTATATTTTAGGGAGGGCGCAGGGGCGCCTAGGGGCTGTTTCTGGGTAAAACCACTTCCTGGTTGATGGGCAGATGTTAGGGGGAAAAAACAACAGCTGGGGAACATCTGCCTTGGCGGAGGACCTGTAGGCGGTGAGAAAAAGAGGGGACAGAGAAAAACGGGGTGGGGAAAACATCCGCCTTGGCGGAGGGCCTTTGCTGGGTTGGGTCCCTAACATTCCAGCCTTTAATAGGTAATAGAGAAGGGGTGTCGTTGCCTTCTGACTGCTTCTAGCTGAAGAGGGGCGATGTTTATGGAGAAAGGCTGTGGGGTTGGTACAGTTGTTCTTGAAGCTGCTGGTATTCTCGAAGTAGCATCATGTCTTGTACTGACCCATCGAGAGCGAGCGAGGGCTGTTAGCATGTTGTCACCTCTCACCATGGGCGAAGGCTCTAATATGGTCCCGTAAAAACTGGGTAAGGAGATGTAGGAGGCAAGGGCCAAATGCTAAAAGGAGAAAAAGGGTTATTGCAGGGCCCAGGAGGGGCATTAGCCAGGGTACCTAGGGGTTACAAAACCACTAGGGCCAGGAGTCTGAAAGGTGCTGCCTGATTTCAGAAGCCCTTTCATTTAACCGTCAGGCTGCATCTCGTACTAGTCCTGACTGGTTAGTATAGAAACAGCACTTGTCTCCTAAGAAGATGCACAGTCCACTTTTTTTGGCAGTGAGGAGATCTAAACCTCAATGGTTTTGAAGTGACACTGCTGCTAAAGAGTCTATTCAGGGCTGGGCATGGTGGTTCACGCCTGTAATCCCAGCACTTTGGGAGGCCGAGGCGGGCGCATCACAAGGTCAGGAGATCGAGACCATCCTGGCTAACACGGTGAAGCCCCCGTCTCTACGAAAAATACAAAAATTAGCTGGGCATGGTGGCAGGTGCCTGTGGTCCCAGCTACTTGGGAGGCTGAGGCAGGAGAATGGCCTGAATCTGGGAGGCGGAGCTTGCAGGGAGCCCAGCTGGCGCCATTGCACTCCAGCCTGGGCGACAGAGCGAGACTCTGTCTCAAAAAAAAAAAAAAAGTCTATTTGGGACTGGAGAATAAGGATAGATTCAGCTATGTCTTGTAGGCTGTCCGAGCGATCTTTTGAGAGAGCGTGATAGTAGGACAGAGAGGTGGACAAGTGTTGGGGTGATAAGGCCCAACACCAGGCCGTGGGGGCTAAGAAGTCCAGC